CTTTTCAGTCATCAGTCCGTTTTGATTTTACATCATCTTTTGATGTGACCTACGTTGCAGGTGAACGGTCTGAGTCTTATTATTAATTGCCTGCTTCTATTCGGTCTCATTGTGGGGGGAGGGGGCGATGATGGTCTGCTTGCTGATATTCTGGGGCGGATTAATGCCATGCCGTGTTATATTCTCCGTTTCCGTCCATGCGGTAGTCTTTTCTATGTCGTATCCGTTTACCTTCTTCTGCGGTGGAGATCGGACAGCTTCTACTCTGCCAGCGAGCTGGTCATTGTTCTTCAACTGGGTTATTATCAGTGATGAGTGTGCACTGCCATTATCACTTCCAAACTTAGTTTGCGACTTTGGAGTGTCGTTTACTACCGCTCTTGGTAAGGGTGAGGCTGTATGTTCATGTTGTCGTATGCCTCTTCTCCTAGCAGTTTTTTAGCTATGCAGCCTGCGAGATTGTAGTGTAAACGGCAATCAAAACTACAAAGACTAATAGATACTTAGCTCTAAGTGGGGGGGGGGGTGTGCTGCATTTCTTACAGGAAGAATGACGATGGCAAAAGAGTATAAGAGGAACGACAAAAAGGTAAATAATTGTACAGACTCACGAAAAATAAAGCCCTCTCCAGAATCCTTGTTAATGAGGCTTGTCGCTCAGGTAAGTTTACGTAGTTAAACATGGACGAAAGCTATAAGTGTTTCGTGTCGATTGAATAAAAGCGATTGAGGCGAATGAGTGCAGTCAGCGAAACAACTGGCATAATTGACAGCAGGAGGCACTGAAGATGGGCTGGCTGGAGTCTGGCAGTGGAGACTGTGTCAGTTTTGTCAGCTCTCTGAATGACGTACTACTTGTCCATCCGCTGAAGAACCTCATATGGGCCATCTTACGGCGAACAACCAGGCTTGCCAACCGCGTCATGCCGAACGAAAACGAATGGAGCAGCTGTAAGGCACTCATGCACAAACACACGTTTGGATGTCAGACGAGTGGGAGTTGGACGCAGTTGAATCACGCGTTGTTTCAACTGCCGTACGAAGGTGCTCGGGATGTCGGTGTTCGTCGTGGAAGACTGCACAAATTCGCTGGGCAGACGGAGCGGTTTAGAATACACAAGTTTGGAGGCAGAGCATTGGATGTCCTCCTTGACAGAAGATAGGATGCCCAAAAGCGCAAGAGGGGGATTGTCAATCCAAGAAGCTGATTCTGTTTGGGACATGAGTGTGGACTTGAGTTGACGGTTTGGACGCTCCACGAGGCCGTTGGCGGCAGGGTGGTATGCCGTGGTTGTGATGTGCGCACACCCGAGCAGTTTAGTGAACTCACGGAAGAGGCTAGATTGGAATTGACTCAGCGGTCTGTAGTAGGGGTGGCCGGAACACCAAAAGTTGAAATCCAATGCGTCAGGAAAACCATGGCGATATTTGCTGCCGAGGTATCCGAGATGGGAACGGCAATCGGCCATTGTGTGAAACGGTCAACCGCTGTCAGAATATGCGTGTACCCGCGTGAATGAGGTAGCTGACCAACTAAATCCAAGTGGACGTGGTGAAATCGAACATCTGGAACGGCGAATGCACTTGGTGGAGAAAATGTGCGGCGGTGTACTTTATTTTTCTGGCAGGCTAAACACTGCCTAGTCCAAAGAGCGATGTCAGAGTTCATCTTCGGCGAGATAAAACGGGCGGCGATTAGCTTACGAGAACCGCAGATGCCAGGATGTGACAGGGAATGGAAATGGTCAAACACTCTCTTGCGCTAGGATAGTGGAACAACAGGTCGAGGAGTGCCTGTGGACCAGTCGCTCAAAATCGTGCCTGGTGATGCGGGAAGTGGTGCATCAGGAAGTTGCAGAGTAGTAGTAGGACGCAGACAGAATTTGGTTAGCTACAACAACCAAATCAGACAGCGCCCATCACCTTTTCTTTGGACGGGCCCGATCCGGATGACCGTGCAACTGGAATAGTGGGCGGAAGTCCTAGACGCATCGAACTTACTTCTCTGCCAGCCGCAAATCGCAAACTGAAATTTCTATATACAAATGTGCAGAGCATGTTGTCGAAAGTTGACGAGCTCAAGATCCATCTATCTCATCTATCCCCGGATATAATCTCACTTACAGAAACATGGCTGAACCAGCAGGTAGACAACCGTGAGTTAACTATACCAGGATACCAGTTGTTTAGAAGAGACAGGTCAGGACGTCAGGCCGGAGGCGTACTCACGTATGTAAAACACGGGCTTATGGTCTCAGACAAAACAGATAAACTTTCGTGTACTTCTGAGGCTATTTGGCTAACTATAAAAGCACCGGGTTCACCGAGCCTTGACATCCTGACGGTCTACCGACCGCCGAGAAATGATCCCACGGCGGACGCCCGTCTGATTGAGGACCTGGAGAGATTCTCTATCCGGTCCGAAGTCTTAATCATGGGGGACTTCAACGCACCTCTTATCGACTGGAGTTCAGCTTATGCATCTGGTCCAGACCATGCTTCCGATCGACGTTTGCTGGACATGACCTTCAAGTTATTTCTCACTCAGCACGTCTCTTTTCCGACGAGGGTGCGCGAAGGGCAACAGTCAAACCGTCTGGATCTGCTCCTTACGAAGTCACTGGACAGCGTTGATAAGGTGCAATGTCAACCCCCCCTAGGTCGAAGCAATCACGTCGTACTGTTGTGGGAGTACTCCATTTTTTCTCTGCCCGAACAGGCCACCAGGGTTAGAAGGAACATTTGGCGCGGTGACTTTGCCCAAATGAAAGCTGAAATAAACACCATAAACTGGGAATCAGCTTTTTGTGGGGTATGTTGGAAATCGTACGTTGTTGTTTCCTCGATCCGAAATCGTTCTTCCATCTTGCCTGTAAACCCACGGACGCCACCGGCCTCTGTAGCGCGTGAACCTCCGTCGATTTCGGGTATTGGTGGTGATGTGGTCGGAAGTTTGTGTGACTTGTCCGCTTGCAGGTGCCGCTCAACGCGAGTCATCGTGTCTTGTAGCTCGGTCTGCCAATTCTGTGTCTAATTCTTTCAACAATTTTGCCGGTATTTCGTCAGGACCGGGCGGTGCCGCCTCTCGTAGCTTCCGTAATTCTTGTTGAGCAATGGCTTTTGTGAGAACCACTTAGTCAATTTTCGGGACGTCGTCCACATTATACTGATCAACGGGTAGAGCGACTTCTCTCGTAAAAACCGACTGAAAGAACCTGAGCAGATGTGCAGCCCTTTTGTCGTCCTTGTAGAGTTCAACGCCAACATCCGTTTTTAATATAGGGATGGGATTCCTGTTGTGAGTACTTTGTCTTATGTAGCTGAAGAAAAGCTTTGGGTTTTCTTCTGCACAGTTTAAAAGGTTGCCCTCGGATTCATAGCGGGCATTATGTGCAAGGCACTTTACCCCATTCCGTTGAGCCTTGGACCCATTCCTTGATTCGATTGTCTTTTCCCTGAGATACGCTTTCCAAAGCTTCTGCTTACGGTTTACTTCAACTTTTGGTGTACCCTTTAGCCATCGGGGTCTGCTGGTGATAAGTTCATCCAATGCGGCCTTAAGTTCTAAGCAGCTCCCGAGAACACACCCCGTGAATGCCGTTTTCCAGTCTCTACGACGCATGTCGAGACGCTTTTGGTTGAAGTCACCACGCCATATGTTGCGTCTGATCACGATGCTTTGATCAGGTACAGAGAAGAGAGAATACTCCCCCCTGTAGGACTACATGATCGCTTTTTCCGAGAGGGAGTAGACAGTTTACGACATCAACGCTTTTAGGTGCTTTTGTCAAAACAAGGTCTAAGCAGTTAGCTAGTTGCCCCCACGTAGTCTGGTTGGAGATAAGACGTGTTGTGTGAAATGCGATCTTTGCACTGCTTGGAGGAGACGACGATCAAAGTTACCATCAACTTTAGGGACCCTTTATTGAACTAATGGCATCGTGTTTGTGGCAATACTGCTCCTGCTTTTATGTCAATAAAGGGGGTAATCGCGTTTGCCGCGTTTGTGTCTACGCGGCCGCTGAAGGTTTTTGTTGATTGCTCAAACGAGCTCTGCTTTTCCACCCTAGGAATTTCTTTTCTTCGAGCACTCTGAAGTCGTCCGATTTCTGTCGCTCCCTTTTCAGTCATCAGTCCGTGTTGATTTTACAGCATCTTTTGATGTGACCTACGTTGTAAGTGAACGGTCTGAGTCTTATTATTAATTGCCCGCTTCTCCTCGGTCTCATTGTGGGGGGCCATGATGGTCTGTTTGCTGATATTCTGGGGCGGATTAATGCCATGCCGTGTAATATTCTCCGTTTCCGTCCATGCGGTAGTCTTTTCTCTGTCGTATCCGTTTACCTTCTTCTGTGGTGGAGATCGGACAGCTTCTACTCTGCCAGCGAGCTGGTCATTGTTCTTCAACTGGGTTGTTATCAGTAATGAGTGTGTACTGCCATTATCACTTCCAAACTTAGTTTGCGACTTTGGAGTGTCGTTTACTACCGCTCTTGGTAAGGGTGAGGCTGTATGTTCATGTTGTCGTATGCCTCTTCTCCTAGCAGTTTTTTAGTTCTGCAGCCTGCGATATTGTAGTGTAAACGGCAATTAAAACTACAAAGACTAATAGATACTTAGCTCTAAGTGGGGGGGGTGTGCTGCATTTCTTACATGAAGAATAACGATGGCAAAAGAGTATAAGAGGAACGACAAAAAGGTAAATAATTGTGCAGACTCACGAAAAATAAAGCCCTCTCCAGAATCCTTGTTAATGAGGCTTGTCGTTCAGGTAAGTTTACGTAGTTAAGCATGGACGAAAGCTATAAATGTTTCGTGTCGATTGAATAAAAGGGATTGAGGCGAATGAGCGCAGCCAGTGAAACAAGTGGCATAATTGACAGCAGGATGCAGTGAAGATGGGCTGGCTGGAGTCTGTCAGTGGAGACTGTGTCAGTTTTCTCAGCTCTCTGAATGACGTACTACTTGTCCATCCGCTGAAGAACCTCACATGGGCCATCTTACGGCGAACAACGAGGCTCGCCAACCGCGTCATGCCGAACGAAAACGAATGGAGCAGCTGTAAGGCACTCATGCACAAACACACGTTTGGATGTCAGACGAGTGGGAGTTGGACGCAGTTGAATCACGCGTTGTTTCAACTGCCGTACGAAGGTGCTCGGGATGTCGGTGTTCGTCGTGGAAGACTGCACAAATTCGCTGGGCAGACGGAGCGGTTTAGAATACACAAGTTTGGAGGCAGAGCATTGGATGTCCTCCTTGACAGAAGATAGGATGCCCAAAAGCGCAAGAGGGGGATTGTCAATCCAAGAAGCTGATTCTGTTTGGGACATGAGTGTGGACTTGAGTTGACGGTTTGGACGCCCCACGAGGCCGTTGGCGGCAGGGTGGTATGCCGTGGTTGTGATGTGCGCACACCCGAGCAGTTTAGTGAACTCACGGAAGAGGCTAGATTGGAATTGACTCAGCGGTCTGTAGTAGGGGTGGCCGGAACACCAAAAGTTGAAATCCAATGCGTCAGGAAAACCATGGCGATATTTCCTGCCGAGGTATCCGAGATGGGAACGGCCATCGGCCATTGTGTGAAACGGTCAACCGCTGTCAGAATATGCGTGTACCCGCGTGAATGGGGTAGCTGACCAACGAAATCCAAGTGGACGTGTTGGAATGGAACACCTGGAACGGCGAATGTACTTGGTGGAGCAAGTGTTCGGCGGTGTACTTTATTTCTCTGCCAGGCTAAACACTGTCTAGTCCAAAGAGCGATGTCAGAGTTCATCTTCGGCCCGATAAAACGGGCGGCGATTAGCTTACGAGAAGCGCAGATGCCAGGATGTAACAGGGAATAGAAATGGTCAAACGCTGCGGTAGGATAGTAGAACAACAGGTTGAGGAGTGCCCGTGTACCATTCGTACAAAATCGTGCCTGGTGATGCGGGAAATGGTGCATCTGGAAGTTGCAGAGTAGTAGTAGGACGCAGGTCGTCCATGGAGTTGTCGCCTGATTAGAGGTCCGAAACCTTCGCCAGGTCGAAATCGGAGGTAAGTGTGTTTATGTCCGGATGGGATAATTCATCAGCAACGACATTGTCGCTGCATCGGACGTCGCGGATATCTGCAGTAAACTGCGATACATAGTCCAGATGACGAACTTCCCTGGGCGAGTACCGCTCTGGTTTGGCCTTGAGGGCGTAAGTGAGAGGTTTGTGGTCGGTGTGGGCTTAAATGGTGAAGCCAAGTGGCATCAGCAAGAGCTTTCTTAGCTGCCTCAAAGGCTGCCTCTCATTATTCAACCCCGGGAAACATGGTTGTATTGCCCTAAAGTTTCAAAAGCAGACAAGCTTTCATCTTCGGAGGTGAGTATCGTACGACGTCGCAGTAGTTAGAGGGGGGTTGGATAAAAGTCGTGTTAACATGGTGTTATTTATACGGCGGGAGTCGTTAATCGACTTTGGCGCTAATCGCCCGCATAAACACAGGGATCTTCTCTGTAGTCGCCGGGGCAGAGCCGGAGGGAGGGTGACTGCTGTCAATTTGCCTGTCCTAAATAGCCATCCTGGGTTGTTAGTCTTGATTGCATCCCACTGAACGCGTTTCTCCCCGTTTGTCGGCGTAGTGGTTGAGGCTGCAGTATTGATTACTGAGCCGTTTTGTCACCCGATTTTGGCCTGGTTTAGGCTGCCTGCTGCGCTTGATGTAGTTACGGGGGTATCCGTTGGCCATAAAAAGGCGCTGAGGGTAGCGGAGCTCTCTCCTTCTGTCATCCGGTTCGCCGCAGAGTGTTTCTACTGTACTGTAGAGAGTTCGCACACAGCTGCGTTTGTGGCATTACGGGTGTTTACTGTAATTTGGCGTTTGTAGGTAGCCTTCCCATGCATAGTCGTTTTTATGTGCCCGTTGGGTTTTCGATGGAAAAGAACGTGCAAAAACGGCAGCTGGTTGTTGCTTTCCGCCTCAATCGTGAATTGAATATCCGGGAAAACGGAATTCAGGACATTGTGAAATTTCTCGATCATTTCTCGCTTGATGATGTCGAAGGTGTCGTCGACGTACAGAGTCAAAAACTCTGGCCTATGAGTTGTGTAAACCAGGCCCCCTTATTTTTGCAGAACTGCCTCAGCGATGAAGCCGGAGAGAGGCGATCCCGTCGGCGTCCCTCTGATTTGTTCGTACATGGTCCCCTCGAAGGTGAAGTACGTCGTCAGACAGAATTTTAAGAGTTGGACTAGATGTCTCCGCTCCACTGACTCGTTCATCTCGTCATACCGCCTCTTGAGCAATTTAAGTCATTTTATTAGGGGAATAAGGCTTTCGCCCTTGAGCTCCCTATTCATCAGATCAGATCAGATCAGATTTATTCAGGGAAAAGTAGGCGAACGCCTTTGAACTCCCTTTTGGTTACAATAACGTCATAAAAAAACAATGTGTAAGGCAAGTGTGAAAAAAAATTAGGTAAGTAATTACATACAACAAGCATTGGTCACTGGTATGAATTTGTCTGTGAATGCCTTCTGTGTCAAGATTGTACAAGATCCAGTACGGCAATGAATGGACCAAGTAATATCAAAGCAAGCGCATATGTGACGGTCAGGAGATAGCGAAAATTGTAAAACGTAATGTTACTAAAATATAGGGAGTAGCATGCTTTGTAACATAAAACGTTGGATGGGGCGGCTGGCACATGGGGGGGGGGGGTTCGTTAGTTTCTGATGCTGTGGAGGTACATATCCCTGTACTGGTCAAGCTTTCTCTTAAATGAGTCCACGGATGAGGACATGACGACATCCACAGGTAGGGCGTTCCATGTCTTTACCACTCTGTGACTGAAGAAGGACCTTCTTGCGTCCAGTCTCGCTCCTGTCACACGTAGTTTCAGAGGGTGTCCTCTCAAGCTAGTAGTGGTGGCCAGCTCAAAGAAGGCGCCGGATGCGAGGCAGCAGTCCTGACCCCGTAACATTCTAAGCGTTTGAATTAAGTCGCCACGGAGTTGTCTGTAGTCCAGGGGAAAGAGGTTAAGATTTGAAAGTCTGGTTTCGTAAGGTAGGTTTTTATGACCTCTGACAAGCTTGGTTGCCCGTCGTTGGACTTTTTCGAGGGTGGTACGATCTTTAACAGTCCAGGGTCTCCAGGCCTGAATGGCAAATTCTAACTGTGGGCGCACAAACATCCCGAAGACCTTGCGGAAGCACTCTTCATCGAACTTGGCAAATGCCCGCTTGATGAGATATAAGCTGGACATTGCGGATTTCGCTGCTTTCAAGCAGTGGAATGATGGCTTTAGTGAAGATGTTATCCACACCCCTAGGTCTTTCTGAACCTCTACCAGTGGCAGCGGTGTGTGATTTAGATAGTACGTCTGCCGGTGCGCAGAGCTGGTTCTGCCAATCCTTAGAATGTTGCATTTGGTAACATTAAATGGGAGGAGCCAGTGGCCTGACCATTTTTCGAGTCGGTCTAAGTTTGCCTGTAAATTTGCTTCATCGTCCTCGTTGCGGATGACGGTCCAAAGCTTTATATCGTCAGCAAACATGGCAATCCTGCAGTCCAATCCATGGATACAGTCATCAGTGTAGATGAGGAAGAGGATAGGGCCAAGAACGGAGCCCTGAGGTACTCCGCTCGTAACCGTCACCTCTGCCGAGTGCTGGCCACCAAGACGAACAGTCTGGGACCGACCGACCAAAAAGTTTTCAATCCACTTCAAAAGCTTGCCTCTTACCCC